CATGGGGGAGGGGGGGGGTGGTATCTACAGGGGGAGAGGGGAATGTTCTCCAAACACTTCCCCCACTGATCTCCTCTCCCTCTGTCCTAACTGAGCCTTGTCCTCACAAATTCCTTTCGTTCCTCCCTCCGGTTGCCATATTCCTCTCTCTGCAGCTGCAGGTCTCGGATGCCATCTCCGGGTATCTCCGCTCATCTGGCTGCGTCCACAAAGCACCCGGACCCTGTGTTCAACCGGCAGTATCTTCTTTGGAAATCCGGGGCGGGGGGCACACCAAGGACCACACACCTGCACCCTTAACAACTCATGCGCACACATCGCTAACCAGTGCTCAGTCGCTTGGGGCTGTCACGCAAGCTTCCTCCTCGACCTTACGCAGGGCGGGCCGTAGCTTTGACATTAAAGCCCCTTGCTGAGCCACAGCCTTTCCCCTACCTGTTCTGTCCACCGCAACTCATTTGTAACTCCATCTTTTTTTTTGGGTAGCTTGTGCGCAAGATAAAGAGCACCGTGCACACTCAACTCACCCCCATCGCTAACCCGGCCAGCCTCTTGTGTAAGAATCCACGGCTGCCGATACTTGCTTGCCTCTCTCACACACCCCTCACCCCCACACACACACCTTGTATTATGCTTCCTTTTTCCAACTCCTCACTATTTGCACTTAATTTATTGGAAAGCCAGCTGTGAGGGTGATCGCAGCAGGTGAGCCCGTCCACTTCCCTTGTTCCCGGTAACTTCCATCAGCACCTTTACTGACTAGTTCGGGGAGGGGAGAAGAGAAGACTGAAAGCTCTCCTCCCCCTCGCTTCCACTCCTTAACAATGTCAGGGAGACGGGGTGAAGTTGCTGAAAAACAGACAAGAGGGCTGGTCTTTGTCCATCCTGGCAGTTCCTTGGCTTGGCAGTAAGTTCAGCGGTGGTAATAGAGGTGCATTATTGGGCGAGACCGATTTTTGCCCTCTGCAAGCAGGGCATTTCCCCGATGGCGGAACCTCGCCAATCACCGCAAGGTGACTGCGGTGCGACATTTGTCGTCACCTTCCAAAGATCTTTGGGAACAAGCCATCTTGGAAGAGGGGGAGGCCAGTGGGCCGCAGGGGCTGCTGCATTGCCTTGTAATGGCATCCACCCACCAAAACTTTTACCCGTTGCTGGAGGGCGGGAGATGGGTCTTGGTTTCACCGGCTTTTAAAGGTCACTGTTGGGTGGCGTATTAAGGAAATAGACTACATTGGTTGACTTACACTAATGTAGGGGGTAGATTTTAGAACACTAGCCGGAGGGCTGATTTTTGTTTTTGTTTGTTTTCCCAAGACCTAATCCCCCTTATTATTATAATCGTGTGGCATTGTGTGTAGTATAGCCAGGAGATCCTAAGATTGTCTGGCAGCCAGAGGTTCTAGCTCTTTTAACGTTACGAACCACTAGGTGGTGAGCTAGACTTGTTTTTAAGGCAAGAGACATTTCAGAGGTGATTTGCCATTGCCCGCCTCTGCGTGACGACCCTGGTATTCCTTGGAGGTTGCCCTTCCAAGTACTAGCCAAGGCCGATCCTACTTAGCTTCCGAGATCTGATGGAGTCGGGCTAGCCTGGGCTATCCAGGTCAGGGCTAATCCTCCTGGACAGGCATTGGAGGGGGAGGTTCTACCCATGAAAGGTTGCCAGAGCCCAACCCACCAATAGGGCTATTGCCCCTCTACCAGCTACGCAGCAAAAAGAAGGTGTTCTCATGTGCTGGGTTCTCCTCATCACTGCTGTGGCAGGAGACCAGTCACTTGGAGACCTGGAAAGAAACAGGAAGCCCTTTGTGGAGCCTGGCAGCCCCCCACCCCAACCCCCACGCACACCGAGGACCCGGGCAGGCAGACCGGCCGTCTACAACCTCCCTGGTTCCTTGCCAGACTTGGTTTTGGGAAGGCAGAATGTAATGCGCCCAGAAACACGCTCTGCTCTGTTATTCCGTCATTTGCCGATTCACTGCCTGCCTTTCCTCCCCACCCTCCCCCACCCATTTCTGTTTAGTTCTTGTTCCTTTTTGTTGTTGCTTTTTTTTAAAAAAAAAGCTGACACTCTTGAAATCAAGATGCAAAATATGTCAAACCAGGAAATGGATTTCAATTGCCAGCCCTCCCACCAAACTAATAAAATATTGTCACTTCTCTAACCCCAGTCTTGGGCCTGGTCTCCTCTGTGCGAGGGAACGGGAGAAAAGAGAGATGGTAACAGGGCAAGGTGGATTGTGCAATGACTCCTGGCCTGCGAGCTTGCAAAGAGGAAGCATGTGGAGGGCTGGGGGAGGGAAACAACTTAGTTCACACAACTGTTGTTGTTGAGTGCTGTTACTTGTGGTCCCATAGGCATGCTCATCACAAGAATGCACCATTCAGGTGACAATTTGTATCTATGAAAGAGTTAAGAACGTAAGAAGAACCCTGCTGGATCAGATCAGTGGTCCATGTAGTCCAGCATCCTGTCTCACACAGTGGCCAACCAGTTTCTCTGGAGGGCCAACAACAGGGCATAGAGGCCGAGGCCTTCCGATGTTGCCTCCTGGGCTGGCTCTGTTAATCAGAGGTTTATTGCCTCTGAATGTGGCAGTTCCTTCTAGCCATGGCTAATAGCCACTGATCATCGAAGTTCTCCTTCCCTGCTGCTATAACAGACAGCCCTGCTCAGACCAAGCAGCAGGAAGGATGTTTTTCATAATCGTTTGTTGCAGAAGTGCGAAATGAAGGGCAGTTCACACATTCAGTGATGCGTGAATGGGCTTACGCAGGGAGGATTCACACACAGGGAGGATTGTTGCCACGGACCAGATGTTCACTGTGAGTCACGCTGCCTAGCTTCTGAGGACAGACGTGTGGGGACAGAGTGGTAATCTGGTGGGAAGAGGCAGAAGACTTCCTCCTGTTCACCAGTCAGAGCTTTGGACACCTCCGAGAGGAAGAGGAGAGAGAGAAAGCTGGTGCCCAAACAACAGCGTTCAGGCTTGAAACAAACCGGTTCTGAAGTATGCGTTCTCTCCTTTGATCCAGCAGAGGGAAATGGTGATGCACAAAGCATGGGGCTGTGGGGCTGTAATCCTCTCTGAAGAGGTGGCTTCCCCAAGGCCCAGCAACTGTCACAATGAAATGAAATGAAAACAACGTCTGTGTTAGAGGCCCAGTTTCTCAAGATGGCATCTGTGGGTTTTCTTCCCTCATGTTCAAGTCGTTTGCCCCACAGTGCGTACTGAAGGCTCTCTGTCCCCAAGCCTTTTTTTGGAGGCCTATTGCTTTTTCATGCTACACTTTTGTCTTGTGTGCCTCTTATGAGGGAGGGGGCAGCTATGTTAAGTCTGGGGCGGCGAAACTGCACAGAAGAATTCATTTTCTTCCATTTATATCCCGTCCTCCCCGCAAAGCAGCCCAGCAGGAACTCATTAGCATAATAGGCCACACCCAACAGCAGAAACTCATTAGCATATTAGGCCACATCCCTGACAGCACAGCTCATTAGCACATTAGGCCGCACCCCCATGTTACCAGAAGTGTGGTTATCCAGCCACACCCACCTTTTGCTTGTTATTCTGTTTACCTTGTTTGTTGTGAAAACGCAGGGCTTTTTTGTAGCAGGAACTCCTTTGCATGTTAGGCCACACACCCCTAATGTAGCCAATCTGAATGAGTTTCTCCTGTTGGGTGTGGCCTTTTATGCTAATGAGTTCCTGCTGGGCGTGGCCAACTTGGGAGCCAGCCGGAACTCCGTTCCTGTGCGTGCCTGCCCCAAAATAGCCCTGAGTGTGACTCATTGTTGGGGGGGGAGGCCAAATTGAGTTGGATATCCGCTGCCTCAACTGAAGGCCTGGTAGAAGAGCTCCATCTTGCAAGGCCTGCGGAACTGTAAAAGCTCCTGCAGGGCCCTAATTTCTGACCAGAGCTCATCCCACCAGGCAGGGGCCAAGGCCGAAAAGGCCCTGTCCCTAGTTGAGGCAAGTCGGACATCCCTAGGGCCAGGGAGCGTCAGCAGATGTTGATTCATAGAGCACAGTGCCCTCCAGGGCTCATATGGGGCACCTTGAAGGCTTACAAAATTGTGAGCTATTGTGAGTCAGCGGCTCTTGCTTCAGCTGGATGTTCCAATGAAGGCTGTTAGCCTGCAAGGTGCCACTACCCTTCTCTTTAATTTTAATACGGAGTGACCGTGCCATTCTTTTACAGAGCCACCGAGGTAAAGGCTTCTCCTGTGCCGCCTTGTTAACCATGAAGGAAGCCTGAGGGACTCCTAAATCTTGGAGGGCTCTGTAAGGAGGAGTGGCGCAAAAAACCACCAGCTGCCACGAAATAGAGGCCAAAGCTGACCAGCCATTGGGGAATGGGATAGTTATTTAGTTGCTGGGCAGGGGTGTGGAGATGAATCAGTAATCCAGTGCCCAGAAGCAGTAGACTTCCTAATGTTCAAACGCTAGTGAGTGTTAGGAGGAGTCTCTCAGAACAGTTGGCAGACCTAAACACCATTCAGCCTAAGTCAAAATGGCCCTGGACAGTTCTCCACGTATTAAGGTTGCCTGGTCTGGGTTGGAAAACACCTGGAGACTTTGGGGGTGGATCCAGGAGAGGGCAGGGTTTGGGGAGGGGAGGGGCCTCAGCATGGTACAATGCCACAGAG